GTTTTTAACCTTTAAAAAAAGATCTCCATTTCATTTTAGAATATATTGTTCCTTGCAGAAAGATTCTGTAAATCTACTTTTAAAAAATCATAGTGATATACATTTTATTTTGATCTTTCTTTAAAAATCCTGTTTTGTCTTTTGGTTATGTGAATTTAGTACTACTGTTTTGATGTAATGCCAAATACAGTTATTTTAGCATGTGCATTTAAAAAATATTTTGTTCAAATATATCATAAGTGAGCAGGTGTGGTGGCACATGCCTTTAATCCCAGCACTTCAGAGGCAGAGACAGGCAGATCTCTGTGAGTTCAAGGCCAGCCTGATCTACATAGTGAGTTCCAGGACAGCTGGGGCTACAGGGAGACCCTGTCTCAAAAAGACAAAATATATATATATATATCATAAGTGAGAAATGTTATCTAATCTTTCATTTAAAAAATAAAGTATGCTTATAACCCTACTATTTTTTTATTTTTTTGAGTATGAGTATTATGCCTGCATGTGTCTAAGTGCACCCATGTGGTGCAATGCCCACAGAGAACAGAAGAGTGTGTCAGATCCCCTGGAACTGGAATTATGGATGGTTGTTAGCCATCATGTGGGTGCTGGGATTCGAGCCCAGGTCTTCTGCAAGAACAGCCAGTGCTATTAACCTCTGAGCCATCTCTCCAGCCTCCTTCTACCATTTTTATAACAGCCTATATGTAGAGTAATAAGTAAGAAGCAATAAAGAAACTAATACATGAAGGAATCAAATTGCTTTGTGTAATAAGTAGCTTAGTAGTTGATGAAAAACTAAAGCCAAGATCATCTGTATCCCACACTAGTGTTCATTATAAATTTTTAGCTATATCCATGGATTATGCTCATAAACATAACAACTTATATATTATCTCTGCTAACATGAAAGAAAAAATAAAGAATCCACATCAAACTGGGAATGATGGCACATAGCTGTAATTCCAGTACTTGGAAAGTGGAGGCAAGAGGATTATCAGTTGGATACTGGCCTGAGCTACATAGTAAATTCATAGCCAGCCTGAGCTACCTTAGTGAGACTTTGCCTCAAAAAGCAGCCGGGGGGGGAGATGGGACTAGGGGTATATCTGTGGTAGATTGCTTACCCAGCATGCCCAAAGTCTTGCATTCAACACTTAGCACTGCATTAATAATGATGTTATCTACATTCAATTTGATAAATTGGTAAATTTTGTTGAATTATTTGCATGCACTTCAGAAAAGCACAGATTCCAACAATATTTCCTTTGTCTAAAACATTTTAAGGGCCAGCATTCAATTGCTTCAAAATTAATGGTTCATTCCTTGGAAAATGCTCAACAGTTGTCCTTCCTTTATTAAAGATGGATGTTGGGACTGGAGAGATGGCTCAGGGGTTAAGAATACTGATTATTCTTGCAGAAGACCCAAGTACGAATCCCAGCACCCACATGGCAGCTAACAACTGTCCTAACTCCAGTTCCAGGGGATCCAACAGCCTCTTCTGTCCTCCAAGAGCATTGCACAACACGGGTGCACTTACCTGCACGCAGGCAATACGCACTTATACATAAAATAAAAATAAAAAATAAAATATTTTTTAAAAGATAGATGTATATTTGATGGTATATGACCTCATTCTGTACTGGAACTTAAATTGTGAGATGAGATTTTTTTAAAGATTTTATTATTTTTATTTATGTGTATGAGTGTTTCACCTGCATGTATGTAAGTGCACCCGTGTTTCGCTATGTCGAGGAGTCAGAAGAGGGCATTGAGTTCCCCTGGAACTGAAGTTATGAATGGGTTTTAACCACCAGGTGGGTGCTGGGAACAAAACCCAGGTAGGTTCTCTGCAACAGCAGACAGTGTTCTTAACTCCAGCCCCACGAGATGAGCTTTTATAGGAACTATAATTAACTGGAAATCATTCTCCTCTTAGTGGAATATACACTGGCAAGACAACATGCATGGCATTTATTGAATAGTTAAAAATCCTTTAGCACTGTGTGAAAGGCCCATCTCAATCTTCTAAGCCTCTCCTCACACTTCTTGCTCAATCTCCAAACACTTGACTGCTAACACTTCTAGTAAGCACACTGCTTGCTTCAAACCCCAAGGCCTCTGAGCAACCTCTTCTTTCTGCAGGGTCTACTTTCCCTTTTGCACTTTGGAATTCCTGCTAATACTCTTGTCCATCCAGCTCATTTTGATCCACCCTTTACATCACAGCTTAGACGCCTCCTTCTCCAGAAAGCTCCCTCTGAACCCCAGCAATTCCAAGAGGGTGATAATCCTTAAAATTTCAGATTATGCACTGAGAAATGCAAGAAACCAAGCTGCTTAGATTTTTCTAAAACTCAGCTCATTTTATATCATGCATTGCATCCTTTATTGTGTGTTGGAAACATACTTTTAATAAATGTAGACTTTTTTTCAGCCAATGTTTAATCCAAGTTCCAGGAATAAACACAATGCTTAGTA